GTGGCGCCCTCTCGAGCCGTCGACACTGAGTCTGGCAGTCTTGAGCACTCGCTGAGCTCACTACCCCTCCTCTAGTTCACGGCCACTCAAGCCACGACCAAGGACGTCATGAAGGAAAATATTTTTTGCTTGTTTTCGTAATTTTAGTTTGCCTATAACTTTTAAAATAAAGCGACGTTCGAAAAAAGAAAAGTTTCATTAAGTTACTACGTTCAGTGCACTCAGGTCCGGTGCAAATTAAAAAACCAGTAAAAAAACTGTTGCAGGGCCCCTTAAGTATATAACCTCTCACTTCCTTTGTACTTACTTTAAGTACTTTTTACATGTACTTTACCCAACAATGCTAATGGTGTTATCATTACCATTACCTCAAGATACTTAACCTTATTTCATGAAATTAACAACTACTATATGAAAACTGGCAAAATATTTTTAAAAAAAATTCGGTTTTGAATATTCTTTAATATATTTTCTGAAAGTGTCAACAAAATTTATAAGTAAAAGCGGCCATAAAATATATGTATTCGCTGAAAATTTGTCCATAGTTTTCAAATATCTTTATTCTGTTAGGAAGCTGCAGGACGAGGAGTAGAGCAACTGTATGCGGAGAGCAAGTTGTCTGCTTTTTGCGCAAAAGTTGCCAAGCTCTTATTGGCCGATTAAAAAAAAAATAGAGGGTAGATCTCAATGCTAGATGGTTTGAGGTCTACCCACTATTTATTTAAATCGGCCAATAAGAGCTTGGCGTCGTTCCGACGTTCCCGCAACTCCTGCGCAAGAAGCAGACGACTTGCTCTCCGCATCTGCTCCGCAACTGTATAGGTGCTGCAAGCAGGGCCTGTACAGTTACTCTAAGGAGAAAAGCTTCTCCACGTCTGATGGCGCCCTCTGGTGTCTGCGATAGTTCTGAGGTAATCAATATTTTGATGCCGATTTTAATAAAGAAATCGGCCACGGACGAATGTAATGTTTTTTTGTTTTTTTTTATGTTTAAAGGGATGCTGAACCGAAATTCGGATTTCACAAAATAAGCTTGCAGAAGTGTTCAACCAATACCACCTAGAAAACAAGGCCTGCGCGTTTCCTCCTCTAAACGTCATCACTAGTAGATCCCCTCAGCATTCCCTAGGTAGCCCGGATGAGCACCATCGTCTGCTCCATCGCCTGCTTCAGTGGTCGTGCTCCGAATGAGCTCGCATTGCTAAGACCGACAATCTTGATGGTGTCACATGCACATTGCAAGTGAACTGTGGCAGCTTGTTATTAGCTCGCGCTAAGCAGTCGCGCACTTAGCTGTGGCCGCCAGTAAATGAGGCGTATAGTTCCTCCGAAACCCACGGGAGCGGCGGCGAACGCCTCTAGAGGACTCGGAGTCTACGTAAGCAGACGCTTTGCGAGCCCCATTTCATCACCCCAGCAGCTGAAATAATTCATTACGGTCAGTTCGCTTGCGAAGCGGAATCCACTGATCGGAACTGCAATGACAATCAAATAACAACGCGTGCATAAGCAAAGATAAAGCAGTCTATTTTGCGGTCTCAAACGCCACTCGGGGGATCACACGAGTTTGGAGCGCATCTGGGAAGCGGAAGAAAGGCGTTTAGCTGCTCGAACTACGTCGTAAGAGGTTACTGTTGATTCGTAACAGACTGCGTTAATTGTCACAGTTTCTTACCAAAATAGGTGATCATTAAAACGTGCGCAAACAACATGTTAAGATTACCAGAGCAAGCGAACCAGCCGCAGCAGCATAACAAAAACAAAAAAGTAACGAGAAAATGACCGTGCAAACACTTTCCAAACTTTATAAGAAAGATGGGGTCCCCTTCTCAGGCGAAAATAAAGAGAAATGGGGAACAGGCAGCAAACAATGGCGAATAAAACAAAACGTTGGCAGACGATAGAAAGATACAAATCGCCCAGTAATGAAACTCCTCCAACGACGACAATCATTGCAGCGCTTAGGGGGAAAAAAAATAGAAAGCAGCAGCATAAAAAAAAAAAGAGTTCCACTTTTTTTTTTTTTAGTGGTTTGTTTTAGCTTAATTTTAATGTTGCAGCAACTTAATTACTCACGTTTGTTCGGTCTTCAGGAAGCGGAAGAAGGATTTTCCAACACATCGCAAAAGCTTTTTTTTGGCATTGGTGTAGACCATTCCATTAGGGTCATAGCAGAGAGGGTAATAGAGAGAAAAAAATGCCCTCCCCCTCTCACCCGCATGTTGTCTGCTCCAGAGTGGGCTGTACCTAGCATCCGGCTGGCGTACGAACTCTGTTTAAAATCGCGTCATTTTGGAAATTTCAAGCGCAGATGCGCAGATTTTGGTATGCCAGTTATCGTGTAATGCTATGCTAGATAAAAAGACTAACAGGGTCCAATTGCGCTGTTACCTGCGTGCAAATAAAAAAAAAATAGGGAAAACTACGTTAGATTGGCCGGTCTCTCCGGCGAAAAGTAAATCCGGTTGCTGTACCTTTTTTACTATACAAAGTTCGTACTGGTGTAGGCCTTTAGCGACCATGAGTGGAAGTCTGAAATAATAAATAAAAGCAAGCTCTCCTGCTGCAATACACGCAGTAGTTGAGAGTAGTACTGCCGGCTGACTCAACTGCTATTTAAGTAACGGAAAAAAGATATGCTAGTTGATCATTTACCAAGATAGAACAACAGAGAGCTATGGGCTGATTTTGGAGTAGCCATTCTAAGAACGCGAACCACTTCACAATGGCAGCCACGAGCGAGGGTTCAAAGTTCCATGCAGCCCGCCGGTACAGCCCAGAGATGGAGAATGGCAACCTCCTGGTTTGTCGTCTGCTAGCGGAGTCGGGCGCGTGCCCTCTCTCTCTTTGTACCCCGCCGAACCCGCTGAATTTCCCGGATGTATGGAGAGGGCGCCGCTGTCGAGCAAAATGGTGCCAACCCAGAGAGCGCTAAATGGAATGGTCTATAGGCAGGACATGACATGCCTGCTATCTCCAAGTATGCGCTGGTGTGTGCCCGAAGGTGGCTGGATGATCAAGAAACGATGACCCATAGCAGACGTTCCGGCGTAGACAAATAAAATTAGAATATAAATTATAACGAGCTTGCACTTTTTAATATATTTAATAAATACCAAAAAGCATGTATGAATATTTCGGATTAGAAACTCAATCGAAGGCGAAAATAAGAGGTTATCGCAGACGACAGTAGAAGAAAACAACAACAAAGTTGCAGACGGCCCTCCAAATGTCCGGGCACAGCGTAGCAAACAGACTAGCGGTAGTAAGCGCCGAAGTGAAAAAAAGAGAGCAAAAACTAAGTCCAAACAAGACAAAACAAAATGCGCGATGGTCCGAATGTCAGGTAAACAAAAACACACATACACACAAAACGACAAAAAATCATAAAAGCAGGAGGAAGAAAGAACGCAACATCGTAGCTCCTCCTCAAAAATAAAAAGAAAGTAGACTGAAAAATGGGAAGAGTTGCTGACGGCGATCCAAAGGGTGCCGACTTTTATAGTAGAAGGTGACGAAGACGTTAGTCGTCCGGGCACTAACAATCGAAATTTGTGTACCGTATATAACGGTGACCGAAATCACCTTTTTTTCACACTACGACACTCTCCCCGTTTTCTTTTTTCTTTCGGACGCGCAAGAAGTCTGCTTTTCTTGTAACTCCACTTTTATTAATTTCAGTAGTAGCGTCAGATTTGCATGTGCACAATCGACTTCTTCCAGAGCATACTGACATCGCAATAACGTATGTGGTTCGAAATTGCCTTTTGCTTCTTCATCCTATCCGTCTATTCCACAAAACGGTTATTAGCAAGACATTCATGAGAAATAGGAACTTAAACAAAAAAACAAATTGATTGATAAGAACAGTAAGGTTGAAATGTAGCTACGTTCTAAAATTTTTGTACATTGCCCTTTTTTTCAAAAGACAACGCGAAGGTACATTCGTGTTTTGTCTCGCTTACATAAGTTGTGGCAGAGTGTTTTCTTCAGAAGAGCCCCGAAATTGCAACCTGAAAGCTTTAACATCCTTCCCACGCGAAGAAAATGTCCTTCACTTATGAAGCGGTACCTTTTTTTTTAACATTCAAAGCAGCGAATACCCGTGACAATTTTTTTCATTGGTCACCTCGCACGGAAATAGGCGAAACTAATGCGTTGCAGAGAATTCGTCTGCTAGCGGAGGCTCCGAGCTCGCCAGGGGCTCTGCGATCACTTTTCACCCGCGCTCCGCCGGGAGCCCCTACTCTCGTCAAGCTTCGGGCTGTTTGCCGCTTGGGGTGGGTCGGGGCTCTACTAACGAAACGTCATGCGCAGGCCTTGTCTTCTAGGTGCTATTGGTTCAACAGGGCGCCATAAACCACGAAACGTCACTGATATAGCCATATCTCGAGCGGATGGCCATATTTCTGGAAAATAAAGGAGCGAATGAGGGAGAATGGTGACGTCATCTTACCGCAGAAGAGTTGAGAAGGAGGAGAAATGGCCTTGCTCCCCTTCCTCTCCGCGCCCCCGCGGAGTTAAAGCGAAAAGAGGAGGAAATGACAATCGCGAAATCACGCATCTTTACGGCCTTGTGCGAGCGCGCTCTTGTTTTACACAAATACAACGATCCATTGGAGATACCGCTTTATGAGTAAGGTTTGGGACTTGTAGCGTCCCACCTATCGGTTCTGCCTCGTTTTCTAAAATTCAATTTTCGGTTCAGCATCCTTTAAAAAGCCCATAGATAGAGTTATGACTATAAATAGACTGTTGCAGAGCACGGCGAATATCAGGCATCTTGTTGCTTCGCAGCCAATGAGATTGCAACACCTGCCAACACCAAAGAACGAAGCATAAACATAATGAGCCATGCCCTACGCTTTTTAATCTGTCGGCGACTAGATTACATTGGCAACAACTTAGATTAAATAGTGCATGCCTGGATTTACAAGGGCACTCAAATTTAAAATGTTGGCATTATTATCTGGGGGGGGCACCAGTATCTGAGCACTTGCCTGAAGCCAAGCTGCTGCTAGTAGACAGTGCAGTGCTTTTCGTGCCCGGGGCGGGAGCGGCTGCTTTCGGCCCCACAACCAAAGGCCAGTCACCACGAGAACCACACTTTCACCCTGGGAGAGATGACTGGTTCACCATCTTGAAGCCAGGGCCACTAACCAACCCCAACAGCGATACTTTATTTATTGTCCGAGACGCTTCGAGAAGGCATAATATAATCCCTGGAAAGATGTAAATGCAAGAAACAATTTTCTATACTCGTTTTCACCTCTAGAACCGTAGTAATAAAGAGTCCGGGTTCTCGTGCAGCCTTAATAATCTCCCTTTTTATGCAGAGTATTAATATATGTCGAATCTCGTTAATTCAAACACGCTAAATTTGAACTTTCGGTTTATTCGAACTGATGCTGTGGTCCGGACTACACTAAATGTATTTCAATGGGTGATAACGCCCAGTAATTCTAACACCTAAACTCCCGCGTCGGTTAATTCGAACATCCCGCACCGCCGAGCATGCCTTCAGGAGCAAGCTAACTCACGCGGCAGCGCCTCCAACGTCTCCAGTTCCAAATAACCACGACAACCGATCACGTGGTGACCTTGAATGCTCCGATGAGCGGTGCGGTGCTCTCTTGCACGGTGACGGTGCTGCGCCGCTGCGCCGCTGCTCTTCAGCGTGTTTTCGGCGGAGTGAGACAGTTCTGTTTCTTGCCTTGCACTCGCATGTTGCTGCGGTTCGGCGTGTTTTCGGTGGGCGCGTGACTGACGTTATCTCGATTCCAAGCGTCATGGCGAGCCGGGGCACGTACCGCCCACCAAAAGACCTTAAGACGAAGGCAAAGATACTGCAAGAAGTTGACCAAGGCACACTTTCCAAGACGGAAATAGCAAAGAAACACAGCATCACGAAGAGCACTCCAAGCGCTGGACACCACCGCGCACTACTTCTCTTGCCAGGAGAATGCGGATGCTGCGTTAGAGCTGGTCTCCAAGCTCCAAGCAATCTTTGTTGATTTACGAATGAGGAACCGTGCACAGGCAAGCATCACGGATTACTTACCTTTGTGATCGGTGAAAATAAATGTCCTGGAACTCGTCACTCATGTGTTAGCTCAGTGCACATGCGCCGCCCAACGCAGCACTGCACGTAAGTCCCGCATTTACCCAATTCTAAGCACCCCCTTTTTTTCACACCCGCGATGTCCAAAGAGGAGGGGGGGGTGCTTAGATTCGGAACATGCCCCGAAAATACGAAATTTGCACAAGAAATATGAATTTATTATAATCTAAATAAAAGAATAAATGTTCTAAAGGAAATAAACGAATTAAAGACTGGAGAGTAGCCCGCTTGCCATCAGTTTGCACCACAGTCGACTAGTCGCTCTCGCAACTAGTCTTTTGAGGATGATGTGCGGCGTTCCGTCCAGCCTTTGCTTGCGCGGAACGCCGCACTCCGAACTGCTCAGCAGCGCCGTGATTTCCGTTGTCTTCCATGTAAGAAATAACCGTTCTCTTGAACTTCATCGAGTATGAAGTTCTCTTCGCATTCATGATGGACGACTTCCGCAAACCACGTGCACACAGTGAACGGAATACGATTGCAAGCCCAACGTGGACGAATAGGCTTAACAGACTAAACAACCGACTGCAACAAGCGCAAGGAGCAACCTGCACGGATGCGAAAAAAGAAAATGGCGGCATGTGCTGCCATCTATTAACCGACGTTGAAACCAAGCACCCGCGGTCGTTCGCGACTTCGGCGCTCGGCTATACCGGCATCTCCGATCTCAAATTTCTTGTTGGAAAGGGGGTGCTTACATTCGCATGCAAACTTTTTTTCAGGTGTTTATGTTTGAAAGTGGGGGGGGGGGCGGGGGGTGCTTAGAATCGTGAAACTTACGGTACTCCATTTAATGAGCTTTCGTTAATTCGAACTTCGTTTAATTTGAACAAATTTTCGGTCCCCCTCGAGTTCGAATTAACGAGATTCGACTTATGTAGGTGCATTTTAGATTATATATAAATGTTATATTATCAAGATATACACGTTTCAAACGCCAAAAGTATCGCTTCCTCCACCGACAACCGAATCTTGTAAGAACTACTTTGCACGGCATATGAACAATGCGCAAAACTTCCTTTTTTTCTTGAGGTGAAAACGAATATAGTTGGTGACCTTTTTACACATACCATGTGCTCACTGATTTTATAAACTTCACCCCCCAAAATTTCAGGTTTCTGAAAGACTTCGGACACTGGCATATAACTCCTTTGTATTTCTCTCAAGATATAAAACTTTTGAAGAAAAAATTTGTAAAAGGAAACCTCCGCAAAGAAGCAAGCGCTCGTGCCTCCTCTGGATGTGTTGCGTTTCCTTCCGCCCTAGGCAAGTTTCTCCGGACATTCCTACAAACCCTTACCAGTATTCTGTGGTCAAACTGGACAGTTGTGGGGTTCTCGGTGAAGTTGCGTAGCTTGGGCTCCAGTGCCAGTATATCGGAGGGCACCCACCGGTCGGCCATTTTGGGAAAGGAATTGTAGACGAGGCCCGCCTGAAGGCCTGCCACCAGGGCACCCGACATGGCCGTCACAAAGACCAGTCCCAGGACGCCGTGCACACCCCTGGACATTCTCGGTGAGAAGGTCTGAAAGGGCACCTGGAGACCAAGACGTAAATGACCAGGGAAATACAATGGACGAAAAAGCTCTTCTCTTGGGAAGAGTGAGTTTGGGGGTTTAAGAATTCATGGGGTAACACAAACAAAATTAACCCATTTCAGCAGGGTTTTGGTACGAGTTCCGAAGCAATGCTACATTCAGACGTGTACACGCAGCTTGGCCATGCTGGGGCGTATATTAGGTTAGTTGCTTTCACATCTCTTGAGTCCTTTGGTGTATAATTAAGGTTCCATGTTCTCGGATAAATCCAGTAAAATCCGAAAAACATTTGCCGATAAAATTTTCGCCAATTTGGCTTTATTAAAAAAAACTTGGAATTTCAATGTAGCAAACAAAAAACAATACAAAAAAACCGACACGGTATTCTACAAATAATCTTGGGTCAGTGGTCGTGAGGAGGGGCTTTTTCCAGTTTCCTTTCAAATCTCAAATCCTTGCTTACCTTATCAAGTTTTGTTCAGGGCAACGGGTCATTGTAATTTTGGGTTATGACAAAAGCCACTGTTCTAGTTTTCAGTTTGGACTTCTCAGGGGAAAGTGGGGTTGTGTTTCTATAACAGTGAAAGCTACGATCATAGGAGGGAGGGGGTAACTATAAAGGCTCTACTTCGGCACTCCACTCCATGCAGCCGCAGCATGGGGTGGTGGAATGGAATTGGAAGAGAATTAGCTTTCCAGAGACTATGTCAGGGATTTCAGCAATTTTCGATTATCTGTATTTATTAAAGTGACACTTGTTGGTAACTTTTGTTGTGGGACAATAAGTATTACCAGTGGCAAGGGTGCAAATGCCCAATCCAGCAGAAGAAATATTATTTGAAGAAGGCGAGTTCTTATATGAATTTAGGGCAGGCTGTGACCGGATATTTTTACTTTTTATACTGAATATTGAAAAATCGGCCCACACCAGAATTATAAACTCAGAAGTTTGGAGAATCTGGAGTATATCGTAAACAACGATAAATTTCAAATTTTCGTCAAAAAATAAACTCCGGAAAACACCCTCCGAATTTTACGATAAATTAAACTCAGAAAATATGGAAACCGAAGTATAACGCGACGCCGCAAATTGCCTGCCCAGAAAAAGCGTGCCCAGCAATTGCTAGCGCAGAATACCGAGCATGTGCCCATGTTGCGACAAGCAGTCGCCTGCTACTTCTAAAATGTTTTCAAAACAAGCAAAGGACATATTCAGCGCCCACCCCAAACTTCTGAGCCCATACAGCCAATTGAGGTGCTTCTCTTCGTCGGCCGCTTCTCGAAGCACCCTGGTAAAAAGTAAGAAGGCCTGCCCTATTGCATATCCCTTCTGCATTTTTGCAATCTGACTTAACAGGCCGCAAATTTTTTAATACTATCTCCAAATTTTCGGTGGGCGCTTTTTTAGTACTTTACGGTATGGTGAAGAAGGAAATGAGGCGAGTTGAAATGCCCCAAAATCTCTCGACATCTGTACCTGTGTTTGGTATGCAAGATGAGACATGGCCGACCAGAGGGACAGGCTGTACCAAAGCAGGGCAGTGCCAAGGTGGGCGGCAAGGCGGTACTGGCTCACGTGCGGCTGGTCGTGCAGTCCACTGCGCACCATGAACCAACCCAGGGCCCCCTGGAAGGCGAGCCCCACGCCGAGCACTGCGACGTGCCCCTTGGCCCTGCGGCTCAGCCAGCCACGCCACCACAGCCAGGAGGCCCCCGTGTAAAAGACCGCCCCTATGGTGCGTCCCCACATGCGGTGCAGGTATTCGATGTACCAGATGCGCTTGAACTCCGAAAGCGTCATGGCTTGGTTGTACCTGCGCCGTCAAGATTTGAGATCTGGTTTACCTATGCGAGGCGCTTTGATGCTTCGGCAAAACGGTCCCAGGCAAGCCCCGCTATACTTTGTCGTACCTAACGACGAACCAGAGGGGACTCTACGAGCCATTAGAGCCAATCCAATGCCGCACGACTGTTGCGCTACCTTCGGGAGGGGCACAGTGACGCACAGGGCGGGTAGACGTGCGACACGTTTGCAGTGCTGGATTGGCTGGGATGGTGCAAAGTGTCTGCTGCGGTCCATCATAAGGTAAAATGGAATATAGTCATACTTGTTTTCACCTCAAGAACCATAGTAAACAAAAATCCGGCTTCTCACGGGGCATTACTAATTTCCACCTTTATGTAGAAAATAAAGATGTATGTAGGTGAATTTTTGACTTGATATGGGTTATCTTATCGGGACGTGCACGGTACAAACGCCAAAGCGCATTGCTTCTTTCTCCGACAACCAAATCTTGTAAGAACTAGTTCGCGCGGCGTAAGAACAACGAGCAAAACTTTTTTTTTTTTTCTTGGGGTGAGAACGGGTATAGTGCTCAGAGTGGAAACTTCTTTCCAGCCTTCTTATTTTGCTCGCAAAATTTGCTGCACCATTGAGCAAAGAGCTGCCTTGATACTGGTGTTGCAACGATCCTGTGTGTTGTAGTGGAAGCTGTGAGCTTTGCTTCAATGCTTGGGGAGATGCATTGCATAAGCAATCAGTACAATAATCCCTGGTTATTTAGTTAGTTTGCTCTCCACTTCTTTACATGTGGTGGCATGCTATGACCCATATTTGACATTGAAGTTTTGCCAGCTCGTTTCACAGCAAACTTTACTGGTGGAGTAACATGTGTACAGTTCACAACAGTGCGGTTCCACATGCTTCCAAAGCGCCGCACGCAACCTACAAAACGGGGTGTGTGGGCAGACTGCCCCAGAAGCTCACTCTTTGTATTCTGGGTATTCCTGGTATTTCAGAAACTCTTGCTCCCACTGCTTGTGTCCTGAAGGGGGGAATTCTGCGAAGGGGTGCCAGTGTACCATCGACAAGCCCGACTTGGTTAACCTGAAAGCAAAGGCATCGTTTAGGTTGCTGCCCTGAGGTGGGCTTTGTCGGCTCCCATCACTTGCCTGGTGACCCCTCCCAGGATAATGGAGCCAACGGCCATACCACTGCACACGAGGAGCCATCCACCTACCACTTTTTGCGATTTCTGAGACAGCTCTGCCAAGGGCTGAGCGACGGTGACTTGTATTCGTCGTCCGAAGCCCTGTCGAAGACACCAGTCTATGTGAGCCACGTCAGAGGCGCATGGAATCCCTTTTAATGTTACCTGAAAGGCTCCTTTTGCCAATGGCTTGTTCCTCGAGAGCACATGGTACTTTGCACCCTATTGTATTGCAAAGAGTGACGTTGAGAGGAAGAGGGTCAGATTTATTGGATTGTCTGATCATCGGGCATGAGGAAAAGCATATATCCTATACATATGAGAACACGCAGACTTTCACGCGCTCATTCTGCCGAGCACGCTGTGAAAAACAACGGGGTGGCAAAAGTGAGTTTTTCACATTCCTTTGTCGTTTTATAACAGTTCTATTGCCTGACAGAAAAAAAGAACAAAAGAAAAAACGATGAATTCAATGTCACAAACACGAATACTGCTCAAGTGCAAGTTCTGCATGAGAAATGCAGTTCACGAATTAAAAACAGCGTTGTGAAACACCGTAGCAGTTAGGAGCGCCGCTCCTGCTCGTCCGCTGCCTTTCGCAGCGCTCACATTCGCACATCTCGCAATGCCTTTTCTGTGAAACAAAAGTGAGATGCACTTACCAAAATGTTAGCATCTCAACATATTCAACACGTAACAATCATACTATGCGTTCTTCTACCTTTTTTTCCTCGCAAGTACTGCTAAGCTTTACAGAGCCAGTTGTCACCTGCTTACATAAACTCTGAAGAGTTGAGGGCCAGTTGACCGAGCACACAGCTTTAAGAAAAACATAGTGCAAAGAGATCACCCCGCACCACTTCAATCACTTTCACTATTGAAAACTGATTCGTTTCACAGAATGGTCATCGACTCCTACGAGAGACCGATCCAAACGAGCATGCCGAGCCGAGCAATAGGTGTGTCGCGAACTTTTGTCGAATCGAATTTTTAGGTCGCACTTTCGCGGTTCGACTGGGTTAAAAGGTCAAAGGTTCGTCGAACCGGTTCGACAAACCTTAGAACTTTTCACCAGATTCGACCGCTTCGACTTTGTGAACCTTGTGAACAATGTGGTTTCGAGAATTTTTTTTTTTATACAAAGGATTATTTTAAGTTTGTAAACAGATGCAATTAAAAGAAACTTATTCTAATCACTGAAGATAATTTTTTGTACTGTACTAACTGAAATAACTAGGGGTGTCGCGAACCGGCCGACATTTGAGTTCGACCAGGTTCGACTTTTTCGACCTTTTAGTGGAAAGTTCGACGAACCTTGTATTGAAGTTCGACTCGTGCGCGCATGCGCGACAGGCTGACCAGTTGGCTTCGGATTGGATGGTGATGGCTAAGCGATGTATTAAGGGCTGTGCTGATTGGTCCTTTCAGTTAATACAGTACAGAAAAATAAGTTATCAACTTCTTCAGTGATTAGAATTGGTTTCTTTAAATTGCAACTGTTCATAAAATAAAATAACCCTTTGCATAAAAAAAACATTCTCCAAACTTAGATATGCTAGTATCAAGGTCTGGCCACACTGTCCACAAAGTCGAACCGGTCGAATTTGGTGAAAAGTTCGAAGGTTCGTCGAACCTTGAAAGTTCGAAAAAATCGTAAGGGTGCAGGCGAGCTGGTGAATATTAACCATGTTGAATTAACCTGAGACTGGAGTAGAGAAGAAACATCAAAACGTAGAAGGGAAAGAAAATAGACAGGATGACGTCTCAAACTCAGCTAACTCATTTATTTAGTCAAGGTCATCACCAACACAAAAGGACGACGTTATACTGATCAAGCGCCACAGCCTTCATCACACAATGCAAGACGTTGACAACGTTTACAGGTCGACGCGATAAGGCAACATCCATCCAGGGACGGATGCAGGAATTTCCTGAGGGGGGGGGGGGGGTCAGGTGTTGGTCAGCATACCATATTTTTAGGAACCCCCTCCCCCTCTCCTTCGTTTTATGCCCTAAAATTTACACAAGCAGAAATCAAGAGGGGGGTCAGGACATCCAGACCCCCCCCCCCCCCCTCTAAATCCACCCCTGCATCCATCCACCCTCAAACTTGAACAAAAAGGATCTCTTCCCCTACTATATATTCTATACAAAACTCTCTAAAAAAAAAAAAAAAAAAAAAAAAAAAAAAACATAACAATATTTGAGTCAATTTTTTTTTTTCTCTTTTTTTTTTTTGTAGGGAGGACTGTATAGAATAGTAGGGGAAGAGATCCTTTTTGTTCAAGTTTGAGGGTGGATGGATGTTGCCTTATCGCGTCAACCTGTAAACGTTGTCGACGTCTTGCATTGTGTGATGAAGGCTGTGGCGCTTGATCTGTATAACGTCATCCTTTTGTGTTGGTGATGACCTCGAGATTGAGACTATATAAGGAGGTGGACTAAATAAATGAGTTAGCCGAGTTTGAGACGTCGTCCTGTCTATTTTCTTTCCCTTTTACTTTTGATGTTTCTTCTCTACCCCAGTCTCAGGTTAATTCAACATGGTCTTGAAAGTTCAACCTAAAAATTCGGTTCGACAAAAGTTCGCAACACCCCTAGAAATAACTAGGGATGCCACAAACTTTTTTCGAACCGAGGTTTCGATAATCGAATCAAGCGGTTCGAAAGGTTTGAAAGATTTGGAATTTTCGAACTTTCCATATCGAGAAATTCAACGGAAGTCGAATTTTTTAACTTACTAAAAACGCTTTTCGAAATGTTGAACTTATTACGCGGCAAAATTCGATGCTTGTCGAACTTTCGAACTTGATAGACTAAAAAATTTGATGATTTTCGAACTGTCAAACTTCTTGCAGTAAAAAGGTCAAAGCTTTTAGAACTTTCGAACTTCCTACGCTGCTAAGAAAGTTGATAATTTTCGAGCTTTTGAACTTATTAATCTAAAGAATTAGAAAATTGTCGAACTTTCGATTCCTGAAAAGTCAAAAGTTTGTCAAACTTTTACCCTAAACTTTTACCCATTTGGATTCAAGCAGCGAGGTAGATTCGTAATTTTTTTTTTTTTTTTTATGCAATTTTACATGCGGTGCCGCATTCCTTGCGAAAGACAGTGCCGTTTATTTCAATCATCTGGCATGCTTGGTTTTAAAGAAATAGATTCCCGAAGGAGCGAGGAAGGACGACGGGTTTTTGACAATTGTCGTTCGTGCCATATTTATGGTAGAGATGTGAAACTTTTTAAGAATGGTCTATGTATAGCCTAGGTAAGTGTCGTCTTAAGATATGATTATTGTTGTTCAAGACGAGTTTAGAAGAAATATCCAAACATGTACCTACGGGCAATTATGCCCTAAACTTGGTAATTTTTTTCGCCTACATTGTTTGAGGCATTGCATTTAAATGAACACCAGAGATAGTACATATTACCATCTGCCGAATACAAAATAATGTATTTATTGTTTTTTTCACGATGAGGAATAAATTAACTCATGGGGGAAGATTTCTAAAATTGTTCAAATTCAGCACGTCATAAAAAAAAAAAACAAGTTTTCTCATTTTACGTTTTTGGGACGTGTTTCTTTTGGCCTGTACACATTTTGGTAGGAGAAACTTGTTTCATAGTTCTGGGCCTCTGGAATATGCAAGAATACAACACTTCCGGCGAGTTCTTGATAGTTTTTTGTTTTTTTCTCCAGCTTTTTATTTTTGCATTTATTGCTATGTTTATTTATTGATTATTGTTTACAAATGGCACAGTTATTTAGGTCGAAAAGACATAGCTTTGAACTTCCGAGCCACCGAGTATGTGACGAGTAGTGCTTTCTGACAACAAGTTTCTAACAATGACCATCTACGCGATCTTTTATGCAGCGAAAAGCGACAGTATATAGCTATACATATGCATAAATAATTTCAGATTAAAATAAGCTCGAACCTCTTTCCCCGTATTGTTTTATTTAACAGTCCGAAATATCTGGGAGGGGGAGGGAAAGACTGGAGCCCCCCCCCCTTCCCCCCCCCCCCCCCCCCCGTTTTTCCTCTTCCGACGCCACTGGTATGGTAGAACGCTCCTCGACCTCAAGTTGCGTTGGCTTCTGTGCTTTTTGTTCGGCGTTTCTTCCGCCTCAGAAAATAAACCTCCAAAGCAATCACAAACGAAAAAATTGTCAAGGGGCTGACGAGCTGGTGTATGTTGATCATGATGCAAAATCCCGCGACTGGGAATGAAATTCGCAAGAAATAGTGTAAAAAGAGAGAAAAAAGGGGACAGGAGAATGTCTCAAACTCAGCTGAGTTCAGTTTGAGACGTTGTCCTGAGCTGAGTTTTCAGCTGAGTTGAGTTGGAGACGTTGCCCTGTCCCCTTTTTTTTTGTCTTCTTACACTTTTTTTTTCAAATTTCATTCCCAGAGCTGAGTTTGAGGCGTTGTCATGTCCCCTTCTTTCTGCCTTCGTACACTTTTTCTTTAAAATTTCATTCCCAGTCTCAGGATTTTGCATCATGTACAAACTAAACTTACAATATGCCAGCGTCACTCGGGCGGCGTTCGATCAGATTACTACCAGCGTGCAAGGGGGTAGGGGGGCAGTTTGCCAGATCACTTCAAGGTTTTTCTGAGCCTCAACCACCTGCCTGCCCCTGGCCGTTTCGAACTGGATGAGTATTGTTAAACAGTGTGTTCGTAGGATCACTACTTCGTGACGCACGTTACTGACCACCCCAAGCTGGCGGTCACAATTACTGATCTATTGTCACATGTCACTCTGCACTGGCAAATATTCCAGCACATCCAGGACACTCGTCGTCTCATTTAATTGCCTGACCAACTTCGCACAGTCTAAATATCACACCCAAACTTTTCTATATAAACCTAATTTTGTGAAAACCAGCGAGGTTTTTTTGTTTTTTTTCGAATTTAGCCCTAAAAGAAAATCTAAACCTTCGAACTTTTCGAACTAATTATGCAGAAAGAAATTCGAAATCTTTGAATTTACCTAACTTTATGTATTTAAGAATTCTAAATGTTAGAATTTTTCGAATTTTAGATCCAAAGAAATTCGAAACATTCGAATCTCTCGAATTTCAAATTAGGGAAGTTCGAAATCTTCGAATTTATCGAAACTCAAATAAACAAATATTCAAAATAATCGAACCAGAACTTTTAGAAACCATGAAAGCTTCGAACTTTTCAAATTTGAAACCCCACAATTTTGGAAAATTGTGAATTTTTCGAATTCGAACCTCCGTACGGTCGAAAATATCGAAACCTTTCGAAATCGAACATCAGTTCGGTTAGAAAATATCGAAAACTTTCGAATTCGAACCTAGGGTGGTTCGCGGCATCCCTAGAAATAACCGATCTGCGCTGCCCTTCATTCATCTCTTAGCCATCATCATCCAATCCGAAGGCAACTGGCCAGCCTGTCGCGCATGCGCACACGAGTCGAACCTTTCTCAATACAAGGTTCGTCGAACTTTCTACTACAAGTTCGAAAAAAGTTGAACCTGGTCGAACTCGAACCTCAGCCGGTTCGCGACATCCCTACTTTTAACCAGATTAGGCGTGTCGCAAACTGTTGTCGACCGGAATTTTAGGTCGAACTTTCGGGCTTCAACTGGTTCTAACCGGTTTGACGAACCTTAGAACTTTTAACCAGATTAGGGGTGCAAAGGGTTATTTTAATTTTATGAACAGTTGCAATTAAAAGAAACTAATTCTAACCACTAAAGCAGTTAATAACTTAATTTTTGTACTGTATTAACTGAAAAAAAACAATCAGTGTTGCCCTTAATTCATCCCTTAGCCATCACCATCCAATCCGAAGCCAACTGGCCAGCCTGTCCCGCACAGCGCATGCGCATAGCAGTCGAACCTGAGTCGAGCTTTTGTCAACCTTTTTCACAAAAAATGTTCGAAAAAGTCTAAACGATTTCTACCGGCTCGGGTTTGACTTTCTGTACAGTGTGGCCAGACCTTGGTAGAAGCACGTCTAAATTTGGATAATTTTTTTTTTATGCAAAGGGTTA